TTTCTTGTTTTTGTCTGTGAGATTTACTAGTCGGTTCACGATTTGGAGGACTGCATGTTTAATGGATCTACTGTTTTGTTTTATGCGTAATGTTACAGTTTGTGTTAGACACTGATTGATCTTTGTCCAATTATGCCCTTAATCTGGTAATGACCGTATATGGTCCATGAAAGGCAACTGATATTTCGCCGGTTAGCCTGTCTGATGACCTGATGATGGTATTTGGTATGATTACTTATGGTCTGTGTGATTGTTGATTGGGCACCTTTCGATGCAAAAAAGATTGAATCTCCAGACTTCATACTTTTACACATGGCGACTGGTTGGGTTTCCAAGGACTGTTTTGCCCTAATGCTCATTCACAGGTCATTAAAGATTGTCTGTAGAATTAGTGGCTTCCTCTTGAACGATTTAAAACTAATACGATGAGCATGAGGATGGCAAACAACGCCCTTAACAATACTGTTGACCCACTGTTTTTGTCGGTGCTCTTCAGTCAGTTCGCAAGATTTGAGCACGTGAATATTTAAGTCATTTTGAAGAAAGATTGTTTCCACGCCTTCCGGCACTATCGATATGCACAAGTTGCTAAACAGCGTCACAAGGTTTTTTTTATTCTTTCCAGTCCTATTTTTATTCGTATGACTAATAGTTTGTTGTGGCATGTTATTATGAGTATTTTTCCGTACTGCTCATTTGTATTTTATTCTTCCTATTTTTATTCGTATGACTAATAATTTGTTATGGTATGTTATTATGGGTGTTCTTCCGTACTATTCGTTTGTTTTTCATTGTATTCTTCCTGTTTTTATTCGTATGATTAATAATTTGTGGTATGTTATTATGAGTATTCTTCCGTACTACTCATTTGTTTTTCATTTTATTCTTTATTGAATGCGTTCTATATACATTGAAGCGTAATTTGGCTTTTATGCTGGAAAATACAGGTTTCACCGATCGTTGCGTTCAAGCAGTCGAATCATTGATTTATACCTTTGTCCAAAAATATTAGCCATGGTATTTTTGGTATGTATGCCCACGGACCGGTTATATTCAGTAGTACTCGAACACGTGTTTGTTCGTCATAACAAAGTGGTGCTGTTTTACGCCTATGCACCGTAAGTTATAAGATACTATATAGCCGTGACCCGCTTAAATGGTGCCTTAGGATACTAGAAACAAGGGAACAGTATATGGCGCCGTGTGAATCCCGAGAAGTGACAGAAAAATGTTATTCGTTCATCCATTCTTTTGTTTATTCAAGTTTATTCACTTATGCTACGTTGTAACCTTAAGCAACAATATGCATTTCCAGAAGTATTTAACTGTCTGCGTCTAGCTGATATACACACTACAAAGAGATGTAGATATGCTTACATGTGATTTCATTCCCTAGAGGTTAACATTTAGCGTTTACTGTTTGGCGCAGTGACATTATCTAAGAGGTCTGCTTCGAATTCCGGAAGTACTGGGTTCGATTGTAGTCGTGGGCAATCTTTGTCTTTTTCAAGAATTGCCTTGAGCAAACAATTTACCATATTGCTTCAGACCGGGGTGATTCATTCGGTAGAAGGTTTAGGTCAGAATCGATAGGTCCCGAGTTCGAGCCCTGGTCGGTGCTCGACCTTCTTCCTTCCGATGCTGATAAATGAGTACCAGTGTAAGAAGGAAACAGGGAACTACACACTGCGCTTGCCTCATGACTGTAAGCTCTGTCATAAAAAAATAAGTCACTCCACGCTGATGGCATAGATCAGATGATCAGATCTGATCAGGGATCAGCGTTACAAAATTATCTTCGTAGAAAGAACGTCACGATGAAAGGGTCCAGTCGTGAAAGTGAAGGAAGATCGACAGTACAACGGTGTCAGAATTTCCTTTTTCATTTTTTTCTGTTTGATTATGGCATTCCTCATTGTTCTAGAAAAAAATCTGCTCAGATGGCGATACAATGTAGTTCTGGCGCTGGGATTGAGTTAAGGCCGTTTCTCTCCTATATACAGGCTTTGAAGAACTTTCTCTGCGGCAAAGGGGGTTAAAATCCTCTAAAATTGAGATCGTATTGGGTAATTTGAGAGAATTCTTAAGTACGGAGCTTGCAGTACTCGCATAGATTTCTATCAATTTTGCTTATGGTTGAAATCATTAAAACCGCTTGACGAAGTGCTTTTAATTTTTCTCTGGCAATTTACAGCAGATTGCAAGACTTTTGTATGAAAAATATGGGGAATGCAGTTGTAAATAGAAGTACAAACCATGTCTTGAATAGGTC